AGACATCGCTTTTTTGTTACGACTGTCCCTTAAAATAAAGTTCGTCCAGCCTCTAGATTAGAGATGCAAATCTCAAGAAATAAAAACAAAAGTCGTATGTCCGGTTATTGCGGCCGAGCGCTTGCTACAAGCATTTCGCAGTATCCACTTCGGGCATGATCTACAAAGTATGAATCTGCAGCAGTCCTATCTAATCACCTTTTATTTTTAGATCTCGGATTTTATTTCAATCCTACAATATGTGTAGTGTTTATTATATTTACGTCCCTCGATTCCTATAATTAGTGTATAAACTACTTGTATAGAAGTATGTATAGATTTTTTTTTATGTATTAAAAATTCTTGTGATTAGAGTAATTTTCCATTATATATGTTCTAGCATTGTTGCACCTAATTTAAATTTGTTGATATGAATAAACTGATTATATAAATAATACTGAGAATTTAGCTTTGATACGTAATAATCAGGATTCATATTTTTTTGAACAATAAAGTTGATTTTTTTCGGAAAAAAATATATAATAACTTTATACCATTAAACGAACAGCATTTCAAAAGAAAATTCTCTACCTAATAAGTTAAGGTAATAAGAAAAAGGTCAAATTAATTAAGTATTATAATTTAATCAATTTACATTTATAAATCAATGTTTTTAGATTTTTTATATTTACATTTATTTGAGAATTATCTAAATATATAATGTTGATATTCTTGTTTTCTTTATTCTAATAAATTTGACTATATTTTTGCAAAATTTGTTTTTATTTTATCCTCCACATCAAACATATTCAATACATTTACTAATTCTTTCACTAACTCTTTCGATTCATCCAACGAACTAATAAAATGAAACGAAAAATAAAGAATACAAAATTTATGATACCATAAGTCGGTTTGATGATTGTCTTATATATAGAGAATTTGTTTTCTGTTGAGTTTTTTCCATTTGGTAGCTGAAAGTACCTTAAAATTGACAAAAAAAGGCATGTATTGACAAACTCCTAGTTTTCCATTTAGTATCATTTAATTTTATTTATTTTTTGTGTAGTGCAATTTTTATTATCTAGAATTCTTCAATCATCATTTTATAAATTGATACATAATCAGTATTTATTTAAAAAAACAAAAATATAATAAAAATAAAGCACTCACTTATCAGACGTTTCTTGTATGCATAATTGTACATGGATGATGATATTATTGTTATATAAATAATGACTTTTCGTATTGTCGGAGATAACGTGCATATCGAGGGCAGATTAGAGACAATACAGAAATTTTAGCAGCAAATCGGCAGAATCGAGTCTACCTCGAAATACGGTGCGTACTTTCATCTATTGAGAAAAAAAAGTATTTCTACATTCATTATATCTTTTTTTATATAATTCCAATCAATTCTGATCTAGATCTTAGCAGGATATCTCTGTCGATTAGATAACGACCGACGTTTATAAAAGGGCCATCCGCGAAAGCCACTCCGCAGTCCATCATCTGGATCAATCTCGAAAAAGTGAACCACGACATCGGAGAGATTGCTGCAAATATCACAAGGACAAAAGTAAATTTATCTTTTCTATATATATATATTATTTTTATTGATAATGTTTATGATATTAATTTTTACATTTGTATAAATATAAGCAATTAGTTTCAATTATTTAACTATTATATAAAAGTGTAGGAAATATTCATAATATTGTTACATTTTTTTTTAACTATCAACTTGATGAGTTAATTAAATGGGATATTGACAAAATCAAGAGCACAATCGTATTTACAAAACGTTATCATTTAATATGCTCTTATGGAATCTATGCGAGATTATGCGATCAGACAGAAAGTGTTGCGTGTTCTCATCCCGAATTTTGTTTCAGTTTCCAGAAATGAGGTTGTTGTGGTTGCTTGCGGCGTTGGGTTTAGCCCAAGCCGGTCCTTTTAAAACCATCTCCAATGGTTTATTCGCTGAAGACAACTTCCGATTGGACGAATTCGTCAAACCCGAATCTTATGTTATCGAATTGTCGCTGAAAGATAATTTTGCTACGGACAAAACATTTACCGGAAAGACCACGATAGTATTCAACGTTGAGAAAGAGACCAGTTCTATACGCTTGCATAGAGCTGAGGAAATGGATATAGAACTGGCTAATATTGTTCTTACCGATGATAAAAAAGCAGAAATTAAAATAGAAAAAATGACATACGACGCTGTCACTGAAATCATTACGCTCATACTTAAAGGAGATCTTGTAAAAAACACCAAATACAGTCTTGATTTCAAAACATTTAAAGGTAAACTGTACGAGGACATGTATGGATTCTATTTGAGCACCTACAAACTGGATGCAAAGAAAACTGAGTAATTATAACACAGAAAATCTGCATCGTTTCTGCGTCGTTCTTTTTTTAACTTGATTCTTACTTTTTAGGACTATCGCCACTACGCAATTCCAGGCCACGTACGCTCGTCGTGCATTCCCTTGCTTCGATGAACCACAATTTAAGGCCAAATTTACCATTACTATAAATCATCCAATCGGATACACGGCTCTTGGAAATCAACCAAAAATCGCAGCTTCTACAAAGTACGATTCAGTTAGCCTAATATTATTTCCTGATAACTAAAATCTATTTTTTTATCGTTTAGTGTTAAGACTACATTCAAAGAAACTGTGAGCATGTCCACCTACATTGTGGCTTTTGTTGTTTCAAAATTTGAAGCTCAACCTACCAATAACAAAGAAATGAGCATTTGGGCAAGGAAGGAAGCCAAAGAAACTATGAAGTTTGCTGCTGAAGATACACCTAAACTCGTCAAACAATTGGACGAATACACCGGAATTCCGTATTTATCTACAAAAATGGAACAGTTGCATCAAGTGGCCATTCCTGATTTTTCGGCTGGAGCTATGGAAAATTGGGGACTCTTGACTTACAGGTAAACACACCTGAATCTTAAACGTTTCGTTTTCTCTTTGTTTATTTGTATAGTCACAAAAAGCACAAGCATATAAATTACAGCAGTCTAAACAATAGTAATATGCTTAAATGGTCAATTAATGTGTTTAGAGAAAGCGCTCTCCTATGGGATCCTAAAGAATCAACCACCAAAAACAAGCAGCGTGTATCATCCATCATGGCCCACGAACAATCCCACATGTGGTTCGGTGATTTGGTAACCATGAAATGGTGGGAGCACGCTTGGCTCAACGAAGGTTTCGCCAGATTCTTCGAGTATTTCACCACCGGAGAGGTATGAATTTTTTTCTTTTTTTGTCAAAATTAGTATTTTATTGTGTAACATGTTTATAGGTTCACCCTGATTGGAATACGATGGAACAATTTGTTGTTGAGCAAATGCACACCGTATTCCCATTGGACGCCGTTACATCTCAGCCGTTATCTAACAAAGTCGATTCAGCCACCGAGATTCAATCAAACTTCGGTTCCATCACCTACAACAAGGGTGGATGCATCGTCAGGATGATGCAACACTTGATGGGAGTCAAGGAATTTAAAAAGCGTATTCAAAAATATTTGAAAAGAAAGTAAGTAAAATCGATTTTTGCTGTGAGCCGTTGTATTAAAGAGAAATTTCGTTTTTATCAGCCAATTTGAGAAAACAGTCCCAGACGATCTGTTCAGAGAATTGAGCAACATGGAAGACGTGACCGAAATGAAAAACTTTATGAAGGAATGGATCTACAGTCCCGGATATCCAGTTGTCTCTGTTAATTATTCGAAAGGAAAGGTCTTGCTCAAACAAGAGCGTTTCGTGTACGACAAGCAAACAACACCGGAAAAAAAAGAAGCCAAAACTATTTGGAAGATACCAATTAGTTATTCTATAGAAGATGAAGCCGATTTCCAAAATACTAAACCTAAACTTAACATGACCGGTGAAACTGGTGAGATTATAGTTCTACCTAAAAAATGGATCATCTTGAACATGCAGCAGACTGGATACTATCGCGTCAATTACGATGGAATATTGTTGGGTTTAATTCACGAGACGTTGAAGGACAAAAAGAAAATTGATAAGATTGATCCAATAAGTCGTGCTCAGCTCGTCGACGATGTTTTCAATTTGGCGCGCGGAGGCTACAAAACATACAAGGAAAGTTTAGACTTCATCGGTTACATGAAAGAAGAAACGAGCTACTACCCATGGTACACCGCCTTCAATTCTTTCTCTTTCTTGAGGAAACGACTTTCGGGAAGTCTGCACACCGATTTGACTGTAATCATTTTCAATGTCATTATATTTCCTTTCTTAATCAACAAATTTCTAATTATTTTCAGAATTATATGAAAGATCTCATGGCAAATGTTTACAAATCTTTGACAACAGGAAATAAAGCCATCGAGAGTGAACATATTGGAAAATTGAAGAAAACACTTATTAACCAGTGGGCTTGCGAAATCAACATGGGCACTTGTGTTCAATCTTCAAAAGAACAGTTTAAGAAATACATGGAAGGAGGGTAAGATATTTGGTATTGCATATAATATATATAATTTAAAATAAAACTAATCTTTAGAGCTGCGATTGAACCAGATATGAGGAGCGTTGTATATTGTGCCGCTGTCCGTCACGGCAGTGACAAGGAATGGGAACACTTATTCAATAAATTCGCAAATGCAAAGACCACTGCTTCTGAGAATGCAACAATCATTACCGCACTTGGCTGCACGAATGATAAAAAATTGCAAGAGAAATACTTGGCTAGTTCAATTGGTGGAACCATCAGGAAACAAGACGCGCAGAGCGTTTTCACCGCTGTCCTTACCGGAAATCCTACCGGCGTCGATATTGCGTTGAACTTCATGGCAACCAAATTCGAAGAAATCGTGAAAAGGTAAGTGAATTTACATAATTCTATATTAAATTACTATTCGATTCTCGTTTGCAGTTATGGAGGTATGAATTCTCTCTCGAACGTTATCACTAGCATCTCTGAGAGAATCACCAGTCCCGAGCAAGTGAAGAAGGTAAGTGATCGATTGTTGAAACTGGATGCAGAAAAATAATATCACTTCATTCTAGTTCGAGAAATTCCTGAAGGACAACGAAGGCAAACTCCAAGACGCCACCAAAGACGTGACGAAAGCAGCCATCGCCACAGCCGAGACCAACATGAAATGGGTGAAGAGCTACGAAAAAGATCTAACGGCTTGGTTCAATACGTACAATGGTAGAAATTCGGCAGCCGGTATTACCGGATCTTTGGCGCTCGTCGCCGCCTTTGCAATCATCTCCAAGATGCTGCATTAAAACAGTCATCATCATTTTTGCTCTTATTTTTTTTTGTTATCTTTCACTTTATATTTAAGGAATAAAATGTAATTTAAGTAATCGCTGATTCACTTTTTTTCCAACCAAAAAACAATCATTGCTATGTTCCTATCCATCCAGTACGCGTTTACCCAGGCCTGCTCGATCGCTTGACTGATCTTAACTCTACGTCTGGTTTTCCTTCACTTCAAACTTCAAGTGATCTACTGTTTAAGACTCTTCTTCAAAAGAAGGGCTTACATTTACTGCATTTTGTCTCACGTCGGAATGTTCCGTTTTCAGACGAATAATGCAGATCAGCGATTAGAAAAAGGAAATGTTCAATTATTCAATCAGTTTATATCTAAAGATCAAAAGTTCTGTATGATTCAGTATTTAATATTTTTTTGCAAGATTTTTGACACAAATTCATCATATCAGTAACTTATGATTAGAAAAATTTTGAATATTACATAAATTATTTTTAGTCTGTGGTTGTGGAAACTTACTTTATATTACTGATACAATATGATAAAATGTTTTCAAGTAGAGGCTAACAATTTTTTTTGGAATAAACTGATTTTAAACTAATTATACAAATTAGATTGTATAACTTGTTTTTATAAAAAAAAATATATAATTTCTTGTGTAAAAAATTTCATATAGCAATTAATTAATTAATTTTCGTATTGTCAAAGATAACGTACATATAGAGGGTAATTTTGAGAAATAGAGTCAAAATTAGACAGCAATTCGACAAAATTTAGTCTATTAAAATACTGTTCATCATAATTCCAATAAATATATCTTGATAGAGATATCCTGTCGATTAGATAACCGTCGAGCCTTTCGTTATATAAATGGAACAATCTGTAAAAAGTGAACCACGATATTGGGGAAGTTGCTGCAACTGTTATACACACAAAAGTAGTTATATATATTTATTTTATTATTCTATTTCACGAAATTTTTATGTATATACATAATTAATTTCACTTAATTAACTATTAGCAATTGAAGATTTTAAGACACCGACTTTTTTTTCAGCTTCCAGAAATGATATTGTTGTGGTTGCTTGCAACGTTGGGATTAGTACAAGGCGGTCCTCTTAATAACACCTCCAATGGTTTGTTCGGTGAAGTCAACGACCGATTGGACGAGTTCGTCAAACCTGAATCTTATGAAATCGATATATTGCTGACAGATGGTTTTGCTTTGAAAAAAATATTTACCGGAAAGTCTCAGATAAAATTCAACATTGAGAAATCGACAAATGTTATACGCTTGCATAAAGCTAAGGAATTGATAATACTTGATAACGATATTGCTCTTACCGATGACAAAACTGTGGCACTTGGAATAGTTAATGTTGAATACAACGAAGACACCGAAATTCTTCATATTACAATTGGAAACTATCTTGCTATAGGCAAATACATTCTTCAGTTTAGATCATTCCAAGGAACGCTGGCCGAAAACGCGTACGGATTTTATTTGAGCACCTATAAAGTGGACTCAAAGAATACTGAGTAATTACAACACCTAAATCCTTTCTAGTCGTTCTTTCATAACTTGATTTTTAATTGTAGGACTTTCGCCATTACGCAATTCCAGCCCACGTACGCTCGTCATGCATTCCCTTGCTTCGATGAACCACAATTTAAAGCCAAATTTACCATTACTGTAAATCATCCATTGGGATACACGGCTCTTGGAAATCAACCAAAAATAAATACAAGTCCCTCAACGTAAACTTTTCTAATATCCTAATATTGGACACATCCATAACAAGATTTTCTTTTAGAACTATATTTAAAGAAACTGCACCGATGTCCACATACGCTGTAGCTTTTGTTGTTGCAAAATTTGAACCCATAGCTACTACACATAAGCAGATGAAAATTTGGGCAAGGAAGGAAGCCAGAGAATTTATGGTGTTTGCCGCCGAAGATACACCTCTACTCGTACAGAAACTGAACCAATTTACCGGAATTGATTATTTCTCGACAACAATGAATCAGTTGCTCCAAGTGGCCATTCCAGATTATCCGGCTGGAGCTACCGAAAATTGGGGACTCTTAACTTTCAGGTAAACACACCAAAATCTTAAACGTGTTGTTTTGTCTTAAACAACAAGACATCTTAATACAGCATTGTTTATTTGTAATGTTACTAACAAGAAAAACATCCATTCATTTGTTTAGTGAAAGCGCTCTCTTATGGGATCCTAAAGAATCAACCACCAAGAACAAGCAGCGTGTGTCATCGATTATGGCTCACGAGCAATCCCACATGTGGTTTGGCAATTTGGTTTCCATGAAACGGTGGGAGGACGCTTGGCTGAACAAAGGTTTCGCCAGATTCTTAGAGTATTTTATCACTGAAAAGGTACGATAAGTTTTTTACGAATAATCATTTCTTTTTTATTCTCTGACATCCTTAAAGGTTCACCCTGATTGGAATATGATGGATCAATTTGTTGTTGAGCAAATGCACACCGTATTCCCATTGGACGATGTTACAACTCAGCCGCTATCCAACAAAGTCAGTTCTTCCTCTGATATTCAATCAAATTCCATCACTTACAATAAGGGTGGATGTATCGTCAGGATGATGCAACACTTAATTGGACCGCCCGAATTTAAGATGCGCATACAACAATATTTAAATAAAAAGTAGGTAAAATCGATTTTGCAGTAAATCTTTGTATTAAAGCGAAATTTCAGCAAATTTTCGAGCGCAGTTCCCGACGATCTGTTCAGAGAATTGAGCTCCAGCGAAAATGTGAACGAAATGAAAAACATGATGAAGGAATGGATCTATAGTCCCGGATATCCAGTTGTCTCTGTTAGTTATTCGAAAGGAAGAGCCGTGCTCAAACAAGAACGTTTTGTGTATGAGAAACACTCAACACAGGGAAAAAAAGAAAGCAAGACTATTTGGAAGATACCAATTACTTACACTACAGGAGACAATCCCGATTTTAGAAATACTAAACCTAAAATAAACATGACTAGTGCAACTACTGAGATTACAATTGATACAAAAAAATGGATTATATTTAACATCCAGCAGACCGGATACTATCGCGTTAATTACGATAGAATATTGTTAGGATTAATTCACGAGACGTTGAAAGACAAGTCGACAATTGATGAGATTGATCAAATAAATCGTGCACAGCTCGTCGACGATGTTTTAAATTTGGCACGTGGTGACTACACAAAATACAACGACAGTTTGAACTTCATCGGTTACATGAAAGAAGAAACGAGCTACTACCCGTGGTACACTGCCTTCAACTCATTTTCTTTCTTGAGGAAACGATTTTCGGGAAATCTGTACACCACTTTGACCGTAAATATTTTGATGATGAATTTATATTTCTTTTCCTAGCAAATCAGTTTCTATTTATTTATAGAATTACATAAAAGATCTCATGGGAAATGTGTACAAATCTTTGGAAAGAGCAGAGATAACCACCGAAAGTGAGCACATCAGAAAATTGAAGAAAACACTTGTTATGCAGTGGGCTTGCGAGATCAACATGGGCGATTGCGTGAAAACTTCGAAAGATGATTTTAAGAAATATATGGAAGGAGGGTAAGGCTTGTATTGCATGTAAAATAAATAATTTAAAATACAACTAATCTTTAGAGCAGCGATTGAACCAGATATGAGGAGCGTCGTATATTGCGCCGCTGTTCGTCACGGAAGTTTTAAGGAATGGCAATTCTTGTTCGAGAAATTAGCAAGTGAACAGTCTGTTTCTTCTGAGAATGCAAAAATCATCACGGCACTCGGATGCACTAATAATACAATTTTGCAGCAAGAATACTTGACCAGTTCGATTGATGGAACAATCAGGAAACAAGACACGCATAGCGTCTTCACCGCTGTCCTCACCGGTAATCCAACCGGCGTCAATATTGCGTTGAATTTCATGGCAAACAAATTCGAAGAAATCGTGAAGAAGTAAGTGAATTTATATAATTGTATATCAAATTACCATTCGATTCTCGTTTGCAGTTATGAAGGTATGAATCCGCTCTCCAAAGTTATCACGAGCATCGCTGAGAGAATCACCAGTTCCGAGCAAGTAGAGAAAGTAAGTGATCAATTGTTGATACTGGAAGCAAAAATAATAATCTCGTTTCGTTCTAGCTCAAAAAGTTCTTGAGAGACAACGAAGGCAAACTCCAAGACGCCACAAAAGACGCGACGAAAGCAGCCATCGCCACAGCCGAGACCAACATGAAATGGGTGAAGAACCACGAAGAGGAAATAATGACTTGGCTCAATAAGTACAATAGTAGAAATTCGACAGCCGGTATTGCCGGATCTTTGTCGCAGGTCGCCGGCTTCGCAATCATCTCCAAGATGCTGCATTAAAACAGTCATCAACATTTTTATTCTTATTGATTTTTCTTTCACTTTATATTTAAGGAATAAAATGTTAACTATAGTTAAGTGAAATGTATTTAAGTAATCGACTGGCGGTTTCAATTATTCTTCAACCAAGAAACAATCGTCGCAAAGTTCCTGTCCATCCAATCCACGTTCACCCAGGCCTGCTCGATCGCTTGACTGATCGGCCTCGATGTCAGGTTTTCCTTCGCCGCAAACTTTGATAGCTGCAAAGCGAAGAACAGTGTAAGACCCTGATGAAAATAAGTCATCTTGTTTACTCACATCTACTGCATCTTGTCTCGTGTTGAAATGTTGCGAAATCAGACGTATGATGCCATTCAACGATATGAAGGAGGAACCCATACTGGAAATTATCATTAAATCAGTTTAAATCGAACGCATGCAAGGAATTCCTTTGTATTACTATTTCTTAATTTTCGCAAAATTGTTGGTCATGAACCTGTAGGTCAGTCCTTGTCCAATGACGTTACCACCTACTGCGGTGAGAACAGAAGGTGCGTCTTGTTTTCGAATACCGGATCCTTCAGTTACGGCCCTCGACAGGAACCGATTCAGAAGCCAAACCTCCTCGGTGCAAGCCAATGCCGCCAAAATTGTCTCCCTTTCAGTGCCCACATTCGTGTTCAAGTACCTCTCCCACGCAAAGTTCCATTCATCCTCTCCGCCCATCCTGATCGCGCTGCAGTACACGAACACCTTCATATTCGGAGCAATCCTGAAAACCGATTCTGATCATCAATCCTGAGAATCGGGACACCCAAATATTTTAATTTTTAAAGGAAACACATATTTACGGATTATTCACGTCCGGATTGGGTGACGCTCGCCAATTGTCAAATAGAATCGAAGAATTGTAGATGCAACTTTTGTAGCTCAGGCGACACACCCTGGGTAGAATTTCGTTCCGCAAATAGGAAACCAACGGCGGATCTTTAGGGGAATCCCTGAAGCCCAGCTCGTTGTAAAGTGGCAGTATTAAACGCAGCATGTAATCCTTAAACGAAAGAGTAATAATGAAGATTCACGAAAACAGCTTTAAGTAATCTTACTTTGAATTTATCAAAATGTTCGCTACGCATGAACATTTCGTGCATATAATCTAAACCTTTGAATGCAGCCTTCCACGGCACGAAGTCCTTCTCGTTTGCCAAATATTTGGTAACGTTCATGGCTATGCTGTAGTTCAGGTAACCGGCGCTTGCCAGATTCAGAGCGTCGTCTATGATTTGAGCCCGATTCTTCGGATCGAAGATCGTGTGATTACGGTTCAATTGTTCGGTGAGTAGAGCCCAATTCGCATCGTCGTAATTGACGCGATAGTAACCGGATTGGTTCAAATTGACCAGCAACCATTCGCTCGGTTTGGTCTCATCCTCAATGCTCATCTTCTCGATACCTCTCAGCCAAATTTCGCTTCGTTCATTGGTGCGATTAGCGTAAGTCAACGGAATCCACCATAGGGCCTTCTCCTTATCCGAGCTACCATTAAGCGAAAACTTTTCCTGCCTTACGCTCAGTCGACCTTCCTTTCTGCTTACAAAAACTACTGGAAAACCTGTCTGCAAAGTCCATGTATCCATGACAATTTTCACACTCATGGTATTATCAAATATCCCTTCAGAACGTGCAACTTCCGTGAGTGACTCCCACAAGTCATCCTGCTGCGCGCTTTGGTACATCCTAAATAAATTAAATAAGAGTGACGAACTACATTCTTTATTATAAATTACTCACTTTTCATTCAAAAAATTCGTTAATCCTTTTTGAAAGACAGGCGTCGAGAGGAAGTGATCCATCATCCTAATTATGGTTGATCCTATACAATACTTAAATTAACTAGAAAACAAAGCGAAAACAATATATACCTTTTCCATAAGAAATACGATCGAAGATATCATTGATTTCTTCTGGGTCGTTGACCTCAATTGAAATCGGATGCGAGGATTTTAGAGCATCCAATGAAAATACCACTTGATTCTCCTGAACAACGAATTGATCCAGAACCTTCAAATCCGGACGCGCCTTTAAAAGCAAATAAATTGAATGAAAATTTTAATGTTTTATAAAGTTACTCACAGCATCAGTGCCTATGTATTCCAGGTAACTGGCGAATCCTTCATTGAGCCATAAATCCGTCCACCACGATGGAGTAACTAAGTTTCCGAACCACTGATGAGCCAACTCGTGGGCTACGACGATTGCAATACTCTGTTTGTTCGTTAAAGATGAAACGACCTCATCGTAAAGCAGATTCGATTCCCTTTTAGAATAAAATGTGTGTAATAAGAATATATATCTAAATACAAAGAAATACCTGAACGTGATCAAGCCCCAATTTTCCATGGCACCAGCGGAGAAGTCGGGCAAAGCGACCAAATCGATTTTGGCGAGTGGAAATGGAATGTCGAAAAACTTTTCGTAGTACTTCAGGATGATGGGACCAACCTCTAAGCTGTACGCCGTTTGATCTATTGCGCTCTTCCTAGCCCAGACGGAGAAATTTCCGACAGATCTGCTTTCAAAATCGGAGACTAAGAAAGCTACGAGATACGTAGACATCGGTACAGAACGCTCGAAGAAATCCCAGGTGTAATTCACGTCTCCATCGAATGGATGCGATCGAATCCTAGGCATATTCGAGATCGAGGACATATTGTTGGGACGTCCAATAGCAACCTCAAAGGTTGCTTTCAGCGCAGGCTCATCGAAACATGGGAATGCCCTTCTTGCGTCCGTCGGCTGAAACTGTGTCGCCGCGATCCATCTATTACATGAATAAAATGATATTTATTAAAAACTACACATAAAACATCAACAAATTGTTTGATATACGAAAATATTGCAATTTATGTAATTTGAGTTATACATTTGAATTTCATACCTTGTTCCGTTCTGCCCAGGATAAGAGCTTCTATAAAAACCTTGGAGGACGTTATTAAGAACACCAGCGAATTGCATGGAGACGCTATAGTTGCCTTGTTTCAACGGTTCTGGGAAGTTAATGATGAAGAACTGGAGAGCCTTATCATAGACCAAATGAGAAACCGATATTTCACGGGAATCTTGCAAGACTTTCACCGATCCCTCGTCTATGGTCAGTTCATTTATGTGCAACGTAATATTACTCGTAGCTTCGTTAACATTAACATCGATGGAAATATCTCCTTCGAACGTAAAGTTCTCATAGATAAAAGGAACAATGCTAAGCCTGTATGCGCTAGGAGTCACTGATTTAGGTAAACGGACGCTTCTCTTTGGTTTAGCCTGAACATCGATCCGATCGGTGGAAGGATTAGTGGTTTCCTTCGGAGATGTTGCTGTCGAAGTTTCCGTTTCTAATTGCACGATCTGCGTATCCCGTTTCGGAGAATCAACTGAATTGTAGTATACCAAAAGACCCGTGGCCAAATTGCACACGACGAACAGAAGCACAAGTAAAACTATGCACCTGTAGCTGAGATGTATCCGCTTCTTCTTGGAACCCGAATCCATGGTGAATATTTCAAATATTTGGGGCATCAATTATGCCCTTTTGGTACTGGAAAAACAAAAGCAAATTAATTAGCACCATCATCGTCAAGTTCGACGTTTTCTTGTTCCTTCCAATCGTCGACCTTTCCAAAGAATCATAAGTTATTTCTGTTTGGCAAAATAAGCGGCGGCAGCAAATCCGTAAGAAATAACCATGAACGACAGTTTTTGGAACGGGACCGCACGGTGAAAAACGGCGACAATAATGCGTTTCTTATTCTTTTACGACGCCACATTTATCCTCCAGTTTTACGTCGGTCTCAGCTAAAAATACGGGCGCTCAGAAAAGCGAACGCAAAACGGGAAACAAAACATAAATGTCAAAGGTCTCAACAATTTCGGTGCTTTCCCTCCTTGACCATCGCTGCACGTCGTCAACCATAAGAACAGAACAACATTGTAAGAATTCAACGCATCTGCTCATATTGCTGTTAATTGACAACATCTGTCTTATAGTGCTTCCTAATTGCAAATTCATTCGATACTTTGGGAAAACGCGACTTTTATGTTGACAAAATTTTAAAAAATATATATGCATGTTTCTTAATGTAATAACTTAATTCTTTAACTAAATTATTATTTTATACTTTATTTAATATTTATAAACATGTCATTACTTTGAATAAATAATAATTACATTATATTGTGAATAAACCAAGAAAAACATACAGGAGTAAAAACATAAGAGTTTTAAAAATAGGAATTAAAATAACTATTTTACATCCTTCCTGCGTAATAAGAAATATTATTTCTTATTAAGAATTCATTATAATCTAAGTTTTATGTAATGTATATTTTTATTGGAAATAATAATTATAAGTAAAGTGAGTGTTTATGAAAATCTTTAGAGAGAAATATAAAACATGTTGTCTGCTTTTATATTGTCTGGGCGAGGAATTTCGGAATGATTAAAGTTTAGTATAAATTTATGCTACACAATGATATGCATGTGGTATTGTTTGTAGAATTATTGAATAATACGTGAGCGAGTGCGTTGCGTTCACTGTAATTAGCATAGAAGTGGATGTAAATGAGTTAAGTTAATACTGCTGTTTTGCTCCTCTAGGTTTCGGACATTTTCGAAGATGAAGAAAAAACGAGTGATTAGTTCGAAATCTGTGATAGGCAGATAATATGGTCACGCTCCGACAGGAACGACAGTAAACACAAACAAAATCGTTGATGACGCAAATCCAGGGATTGCATAATGGTATTATGATAGAGACGGGTGAAATAGTTTTCTCTTACCTTTTTCGTTTCAGTGGAAATCTTGGAGATGGATAAAGAAGTAAAAAAAAAAACACGGAAGGACGCGCGCGAAAGTGATGCGTATAAAGCGAGATGGAGAAAGAGAGTGAGAAAAGTGATGATTGCGGTAGTCGGTGGTTGGGACGGAGATCACTGCATCCTCCGTGGTGGCATCCACGGCACTACTAATGTCTTTTGGCAGTCGTAAATCTTGTGACCAGAATCCGAAGTGTGTTGTAAGGAGGATAGTTTCTAATGGGAACACACGCGATGATCCGTCAGAGCAATTGGGGCACAAGCAGCGTCGGATCGCACGGGCGGCGCGCGAGCAACAGGCGTCGCGACGCGCGTCTTCCTCTGCTCCTCAGCCTCACGACCTCCCCCGTACCGCATCTGAACGATATCAACAGTGGAATGAAAAGAGAAGAGGAAAGAAACGAAGACACGCTCGGATCGTGTATTCTCTGACCTGAAACGGGAATTCGTCATCATCAACATCATATCACGCATCGCCAATACATATCGATCTTCCTTTCTTTCCGCACAGATTCCAGGATTTATGTGTGAGGCGGAAGCGCGTGCGCCCACCCGCCTCCGCATCAATTCAAAATCTATTTATTTTCATTTAACGTTCCTCATCTCTTCGCTTCCTTCGTTCGTTCCACTTACCAAACTAATTATAAGCATTATTAATAAAATAAATAGTGCGCAATAATATTTATCGATGTGCCATCAAATTTGTAATCGCATAAACCTGTTGCTACTTTGACCAACATTTATTATAAACTCTTTATCAAATTTATACAACTTATCATTATCGAAATAAAACAAACATTATATTTACTTAAAATATACACATTTTTCTATTGTATCTAATATTTTCCATATTTTTTTATTTAGAAACTATTAGAGCTAATTGTGACCATCAAAAACCTGTTGCTACATTAACCAATATATCCTCTTTTACAACTAAACAACACTTCTTATTTTATCTATTATTTTGTATCTAAAAACAGTTTACATTAATTGTTACTATTAATACACAACTAAACTTGCCAAATAGAGCAAAATATGGTGGTAAATGGACCAATATTTACTATAAACTTTTATTCCATATAATTAAAACTGTACCTATAAATGGTAAAAACTAGATTAATTTTCATTAATTTTACGACCGATAATGCAAATTCCACATCGCAATGTAAATTACTTTCTTTACAGTCGTCACATTCCCACTTAAAAACTAATTATAATCATTACTTCAGGCCAAGTGCTGCGCAACAAATGTAATGAGCTTTTACATAGTTCGCAGTAGCAAAAACCTGTTGCTTCTTTATCTAAGATTTACTAATTACTTAATTACGAACAACCCACGATTAATTATATTAAATTACAACCCTGTATAATTTGTTTATTTTTTATAATAATAAATTTATTTTTATTTTAATGAAGTCATTAAAGAAATATATTTGTTACCAATAACAAATAAGCTGCATAACGTATTTTATTACATGTGAAAACCGATATTTCTATCGCATAATCGCTATCATTTTTATCTTTGTCTCGTTATTCTGTTTCGCGACTCAATATAATAAGACAGATGTCTTCGATCATTCTGTAATTTGACACATGGACGTGGAGGAAGGATGACTCGTATCATGTTAAAAATAATAATAATGGAAGCCCGTATATCTTTATAAGCCGGGCGATATAATGATATCAATTTCAATGAAATAAATTTTATTAGAAAAAGGAATTTCTCAACTCAGTATTTCTCTATACGATATTCATATTAGTTTTGCAATTATTTATAAACTGAATGATCGAAATGAAGAATATGTTGATGTAAAAGTTCTTCAGTTTGAACAAATGTTAAAAATTAAACGGATAAATGTAAAATGCAGTTATATTTACCTAAGTGAAACTAAAACGACATTTGTGTGCGGAGTCTGAAACATACATAACTATATAGAATTCGCATATTGCAACAATAAGTAGGTGCGCTATTTATAGGACAAATACCATAAAAAAATAATCAATTAACCTTAACAAAATGTTATCGTTGCAAAAAAAAAGCAACTACGCTTAATTAAAGTTTACGTTCAAGTCAACAAGTTTATTTAAACATGTAAATATTAATAAATATTGCACTAATATTCGTGCACATTTAAATAATTGTATCAAAACGTAATTCGAAATTCAAAAAATTATCAAGATTTCTCATTAATAATAACTTACTATATAATAACTTCAATTAATTATGAAAAATCCAAAATATAAACTACGAAAAATAATATACTATATTTATAATAATTTTACTATGTTCTTGTGGATTTCCAAAATTTTATTTGTCATTCATTAAGTCCATGGTTATTGCCGCTTTTATACTTCGCTTGTTAATTAACTGCAAGTCTAATTTTGAAAATTACTGAGAAAAAAGTATTATAATGTCGATTTGATTTGTTTGTAGAAGAAGTATAATCGCTTATATAAGAATATTGTGATCTTTCAGTCTGGCTTTAGAAGACGGTCTTTGGCAATACAGTAAATATTTATATTAATTATATCTGTACGATGAGTAGAAATATCTGCGGATGTGGAGAGTGAAATGTACACGGATTGCGTTTATCGTTTTGCGATTACGTAGACAATCCGTCGTCATCTTCAGTCAGAAAACGTGCGCGCTCCAAAATGGTAATTTAGCAATTTGTGTTGAGCGACAAAACAAGTTTACGTTGTGTATATATGTGTATATACATAATAGAATGAAACCGAATAATCGTCACATTACTACTACAACTCAGCCTAAGGTCAAAATCGGATCTGTTTGATCGTCGCATCATTTTTAATGTTCTGCTTTCTACCACCTCGCTCTCGATCCGTGGACGTTACGTAACGCTCGCCAAAGACTGAAAAACGCGGCGGGGTTTGATGCTGGTGAAGGGGGAAAAGGGAAGTAGCGGTATCTCACGGTCGAAGGCTTTGTTCCTCTTTTGACAATGCGCATCCCTCGAGTCTTCTCTTTTATGTAGGTTTCGGTTTTAATTGAACGTCCAAATAAACGTCGTCCGTGCGTCCCTTCACGCCTTTTGTTGTCGAATCACTAATCCTCCTCACAATTATCCTCCTGCCCACTTCTCGCTTCACCATTAAACTATTTTCTTGCAGCAATAAATCTCGGACACGTTCCTCGATCTTCCTTAAACAGTCGTGTAGGCATTAAGTTTGTTATATAATTGGTATAATATCCTACGATTTGCAGCAACAACAACAACGAACATAATCATATTCAATTGCTTTTATATCTCTTGAAAATAACAATATTAACAGTGGCGCGTTACCGCATAGGGGCAGTAGACGCGCGCCTAGAACCTTTTAAATTAAGGGACCCCCAAATCGCGAAAAAAAACCTTAGGATTTTCTTAGTAGGGCCAATATGGGGCCTTCAAAACAGGTTGCGCTTAAAGCCTCACAAAGTCATGTTGCACTACTGGGCGCCACCCTTACGCAACTTTTTATAAAACAAAAGCAATAAATTTCGATCGATACAAACAGAATAATTGAAGATGAATAACGACGCGTTCTCGAGCGACCGTTGCGGGATATTTTCTAAATTGAACAAATTGTTAATCCAAAGAAACGTGATCTTTTTAATTAGGTATTATTGATTAGGAAAATAAGCAAGAAAATAAGAAAGAAACCCGTGATATCTGAGATCTGTGAAGTTGAAAAATTGTGAATGTTATTTAATGAAGAAAGCCGAGAGAAAAACGCGAAAAAAACATGGAAATTATGAAATTAGTTAAAAATTAAAATGAATATATTTGATTATAATATCTGATTGTTTGTATTTATATTTGTACAGTATATATTATCAATTACATAGCTCTTGATTATTGAACCAACGGGGATGGAGCTATGATGTTTGTGTGTTATATATTTAACATATAATTAGTAGATGTACTGACGAAACCACAATGCCGGCAGTTAGCTCATTCGAAAAGTTGTAGTTTATCTCTAATTTGCGTATTTGATGGTTTAATTAGCACGAGTGGTAATCGATTAATTTAAAAAAAAAACGTGAAGGTATTGCAGCCAATTGAAAAAAATAGTTAAATAAATGGTTATTTTCGCATATAATAGAACATTTTAATTTACTGTTTTAAAGAATAATTCTTTCGCTTTCGTTTGCTATGAAATACGTTAGTTTTGGTCAATTAATAAGAAAGTTATTAAGCTGTTATGCGTTGGCGGTTTTTGCGAATCAAAAACATCTGTCGGAATATTCAAGAAACAGTCTGCAACTACACATACGTATGCCTGTTGCAGACTATTTCCTGCAAATACCGAAAGATGTCGCAGCTTGTCTTAATTAAAATGCATATAACTCGAAATCTAATTAGTATTTTAATGATTAGACTAAAGTAATAATATTACATTTGCTCAAGTACTATTTTTACATGTTTGTTTATTTAAATTATAACGTTTTTAAGGAAGTGAATTTTGTTCAGCGCCAAAATGCCTGAACTACGACTTTTGAAATATTTCTAACAGATGGCGCTAGCTGTTACAAAAAAATGGATACATACATTGCGCCTAAAGTGCTGGCAACCAAACATACATATACACTTTGATGAACAAATAAGAAAACAACTACTTAGATAATGCGATGTATTTTCGTAAACTTGAGCTCCCAGAAGAATGTTATACATGGATGTTGATCTTGAATATACACAGATTAAAATTAGCGCAAATATTAGTTCGTAGCTGCGATGGTATCTTCATAATTGATTAACAAACTTTGGTATTTCACTATGAGTTGTGAAAATAACGTCTTCGAAAATGGCCTGTATTTTGGTATACATCAACTCTAAGAAGAATTTTGGACATTAATGTTGATCTTAAATATACAGAGATTACAATCAGTGTAAATACAGGCTTGTAGCTACCATAGCTTGGTCACGATTATCAAACTTTTTCATGAGACAGTTTGGAAAACAACGTTTTAGAAAATGGCCTGTGTTTTCGTCAACACTTGCTACTAGAAGAATGTTGAACATGAATGTTGATCTAAAATATACAGCGATTAATATAAGTGAAAATATAGATTGATTGAAATACTTTTAGTCTCTTTCTGGGAATTTGATGAAAATTAACATTTTTGTTTTTCCAGTATTTTCAATGCATCTAGCATTCAGATATGTTATCGAGTCTCTAAGGATCATGCACAAAGCAATAATATAATCATGGGTACTACAGGGTTCATAGTTGTTATCCATAATGAAGTAATATTGTTGGTCTCATTCAGCAGTTAAGGTTTCCACTATTTGCAAAAGAAAACTGCTAGTAAAGAATGCTTTCCACTTTCTGTGGAACTTAAGGTCATCAACTATACATTAGAAGCTTTTGCTATCAGCTCCACTTAAAATAATTACAATTATACCAATGATTCTTGACTACTTACCTTATGACTATTAACAATTAATGCACATACTTATATGAAGACACTGATTCAGTATATCTTATGTAAAAGATTTTAAAAATTGTCGTTAGTTAGCTGCAGTTTCTGTTGTGTTTTCTGAAGACAAAGAACTTTAGTGATCGATGGTTGTTTACATGTTTCCACTAGTACTCGTCGAAAGCGAAAGAATTATTCTTTAAAAGAGTAAATTTTTTTTTTTTTAAATATAAGAATATAACCATTTATTTATTTTTTTAATTTGCTGCAATACCTTCACGTTTTTTTTTAAATTAATCGATTACCACTCGTGCTAATTAAACCATGAAATACGCAAATTAAAGAGAAACAACAACTTATCAAATGAGGTAAGTGCAGCATTGTTGTTTGGTCAGTACATCTACTATAAGTTATCAAAATTAAGCATTTTAATTTCATTCTAAATCTAATTATTTTTTTGTTGTTAATTATGTATTAATGAGCTTTATAGAATACATAAATATAATTTATTATCAATTATTATCTTTTCTATTATTCATTGCTTTCTCGAGAATTACACAAAAATTACGGAACTTTTGTTGTATTTCATGATTTCAAAAGATGGGCATTTATGAAACAAAATTTACGTAATGTTCGTTACATAACAAGGAATAGACGATTTTTTTCAGTAATTACATCATCGACATCTTTGTGTTGTCATCAAGTCGCCTGCTACGGGCTGTAGAAATTGGAAAAAAGTGAATTGGATTTTCTTCAAAATCGCTATTCGATGGAAAAAAAAAGGATTTTCGATAATAGCTCGAAAACCAATAAAATTTTGTTGCATTTCATGATTGCTTGCGTAAGATGGGCCACCCTTACGCAACTTTTTATAAAACAAAAGTAGCGTAATGTTCGTTACGTAACAGAGGAAAGATCAGATTTTCGTGAATTTTTCGACAATTCTTCAAGATCGACCACACAATTTTAAGCTAAATACCTCACCTTTCCAACGAAACTATTGGCATATTCGTGCTGTCGTCTGCTACGAGCTGTAGAAATTGAAAAAAAGTGAATAAGATTTTCTTAATTACACGAAATTTACGTTACTTTTGTTGCATTTCATGATTGCGTTATAGATGGGCGCCACCCTTACGCATCTTTATATATTGTGTATTGAAATTATTAGCAAATAAACAAATAAGTCATAAGTTTGGTCAACGTTCAATTTTTATTTACATAAATTTAATTTGTTTTCAAATTTTATGTTAAGATTTCACATTGAAATATCATAGAATACATCATCATATTTTATAATACAGTATTATCTCAATAACAATAATTCAATTCAAGTAGTGATTTGCACATAATCTCATAAATTGTCTCTCCACCGTTTTGTTCCTCATTTCTTAGCAATTAGACGAAAGAAAAAAGAATACATCAAAAATGTAATTACATTTTTTATATATACGTATTTATATATAGAATTATGTACAGTAAACCGAAAATAAATAATAATAATCTTGATATGGATATGAAAATGATATTAAGGGTAATTACGTTTCAAATCAATTTAGAAGTATTAAAGAAACACGGGATACAAAAAAAGTTTTGCAAAATAAATAATAACCGAAATTCTCAATCACAGCGAAGAATATCCAACAAAATCAATCAAACTAGACAATTCCATTGGAGATTTCTATAAGATACATAATAAAATAAAAATCCTAAAAGTAAAAAATAAATAATTTTCTTTGTTGGAAATGTAGATTACATCGTTTGCGCTTACTCGATTTTTTTCCATAGAGATTATAACATTTAGATTCGTTGCAATTCAAGTTTTTGGTAATATCAAGGCAGCTGCATCACGGATACAATCAACATTTCGTATCCCGTCTCGAAAACCACCAAAAAAATAATAATGAAATCAAACCCGAATTGCCATGCTGCAAAGTGAGCAGTACAGTAAAAAAAAACCATGGTGATGGCCGTGCCCTATCTATTATCTAAGTCGAAAAGCGAGAAGAGGACAACAGTTAACATTGAATAACGAATTGGTTGGTTTGGTGTATGTGTTTGTGTGTGTTAGTGTTTCTTTGCTAGCCTGCAACAAAATCCTGAGTTATAAAACTCCTTACGCACGATCTGGGCATGCAGTCTGCGGGATTCTGCTCTTGCCGTTCTCACCGTCCACCCCCAAGGCCGTGTGAACAATTATGCTGGGCTGACCGGGCGACGGAGGGTGCAGCTCGTGAGCAGTCCCTGGTGTAAGGGATGCCAAAGCTGCAAGCAGATCTTGGTTGATGATGGGCTCTCCTTCAGGCCTCGGCTCCCAGTCCACGGGTGGCGATGCCGGAGGCGAGATTAGGAACTGCTTGAAGGGTTTCGGTAGCTGCAGGGTGCTGTTCTTCACCGGGGTCACAGGTTGCGCAAAGTAGCAGGTGATCACGGATTCGTCTAACTTATACTGATGCAGCTTAATCCTGGCATTTGCTGCGGCCAACGGTGTTTGGAAGTTCACCCTGAGCCGCCGAAAGCTTTGCAGCCATTGGAAGGACACCCCAGGATCGAACATACGGAAAAGATCCTCCATAGTTGCTTTTTTATCTGAAAAAAAAAATCATGTAATCAACGAGTAATTAAATAAAAGTTAAAAACGTGATATAAAACAGAAAAATCGTTACATCTTAGAAACTAGTTAAGATTATTTTAGAATTATTACATTAATAGAAGACCACTTCTTATGTAATCATAAAATTTATAAAAGCTTTACAGTTAATCTGCAAAATTATACATGTTAATAAACTAGTTTTTGAAAAATATTACATTATTTTGAAATAATTGAACAATCACAAAATCTTTCTGCTACTTGTAGATTTAGAAATGTATCATTATGCAAGTAATGATTTTAAGGTAAGGTAAGGTTTTAAGTAAAACAATAAATATTAATTACCTGCATTCGAAAAAACAGTGTAATGTATGTTGGTTACGATAAGGGATGAAGGCAGATCATCGAAATCATCATCACCCTCATGTTCGGAACTGTCCATATCAGTTTCAGGCAGTAGATTGGGATGGACATTGGGCAGACCGTCCTGATCATTGATGATTATATCCTCCTCACCCATTTCTCCGCAGCTCTCAGCCATTTCTTCAAAAACGTAATTGTTGTCAAACAACAATTTTTATCTAATCTAAAATAAATAAACAGTAAATACGGATTTTTTTTTTTTTGGGATAATCCCGTCTGCTGCTTACCCCGATGTTATGGAGCTCCCTGGACTCGCCGTAAATCACATGACAAATGTTTTGTGTCTAATTAAAACGAATTGCCTAGATGTTTAATTAAAATGAATCAAAAAAACAGGGCAAAACAGCCAGCTAAATGTCATATGTCAGAGTCAATCAAAAGACGTTCAATTTCATTGGAAAACAATGGAAGTTCTTATTGTCACCATAATTACAATTATTCGTTAATTGCTTAAAATTAGTTTGTTTAATGAAATATTCAATTTATTAAAAGCATTAGTTTAATAATTTATTCCCTACATTTTTATTTGAAAAATTATATTATTTTTTGTACTATTAATCAGTAAGAAGAAAAGAAAACGTTTAATATTTTTAGAAATATTTGCTACTTAAATTATTTTACTTTATTTATTATTCGTTAACGTTCCTTTTTTCTAAGAATTATTGTAGTTCTTTTCGGTTTAAAAATTAATAGTTCATTTTAGTTGCACTACTAACAAGATGGCGCTTCACTGACATTCGAAGCCCAAACATAACCTAGTCACTTTTAGTCAAATCCAGTGTTTTTTATGTTTGTAGCAGTTTGAGAAGACAAAATGAGTGGTTTAAATAACATAGAAATGGTAATTGAAGAGAAAAAGGAGGATGGTGTTGATAGGCAAAAGGTAAATACACATTTTCTATAAAAAGTTTGATGTTATAGAAGTTTTAAACATAATTTTTACAAACGAATAGTTAAATAATATTGATTTAATTGTAGGTATGTCCATTTCTACTAAGAGTATTTGTGTCTTCGAATGGACACCACCACAAGATATCTGACTACAGCAAAGGCACAGTGCCTGAAAACGAACTACAGATTTACACATGGAGGGATGCGACTCTAAGTGAATTGGCTATATTAGTCAAGAAAGTCAGTCCAGAAGCAAGAAGAAAAGGCACAAAGTTGACTTACGCCTTGGTGTATCCAGATAGCAGACAACCAGTTTACAGGCTGAGGGATATTGGCTCTACCATATCCGGACAGAAGGGTCCTGAAGATTTGAAGACTTTGGGACAAGCGAGGTTCACAATTGGTGATTACATGGATATCTCAATCACTCCACCAGAGCATTGGAATAACAGTCCAAGGAAGAACTTTGCTAATTCATACAACAATCACAGGCAGAGGCAGTATTGATTTTTGTTTTATTCAATTTCCAAAGTTAATTTATTGATAATTGTATTGAGAAATGTAATACTTACTTTACTCATCAGGTTTATCAATCATGTATATTTTCATTTCATACATGGATATTTTGTATTTAGTTAATATTTGTTTTATTAACTTTGTAGTTTCAGTTTAAGGAGTTTAATACTTTTGTAAATTTAAGCAATAAATATATGCAACCAAATATACAAAATCTATTTCTTTTCTCTAAAAAAAAACCTATTCTCACCATACATAAATGTAATTATAATCACGTTTATGTGAAAATTTTAAAAAATTCATGAACTTTAAAATTTTATTTAAGAAATTCTGCTGCAGTATTTGCATTGAATTTTAAGTACAAAGGTTGTGAATAAAACAACAATATTTAGATTGTAATAAAATGTGCATTATTAATATTTTTTTTTCTTTATTAGTAGTGATATTTGGGTTTCATTTTTGTCTCGATTTCATCATGTAAACAGGAAGACACAACATTAGAAATCATAATTATATAAATATTTACATGTTCAAAATAACATACAACGTATAAAATGTCATTGAACGTGTGTGAAACAGAACAGAAAATAAAGAAATGCACTTTTAAATTAATCGATTTTTTTTTTGTTTTGTTTATTAATAATTTCGCCTTGGTTTCTCTCTTCCTATCTATAACTCCTTTTTGTTAATAATTATATAATTTGCTTGTATATCAAATATATTCTTAAGCGTACATTTTCAGAAACTTTGTCTCTCGTTCACAAGATAAGTGTTACTATCAACTATAGTATTATAGTTTTCTCTTCTTTTCCTTTCTTTATATATTTATAAATATATTAATTAACCTTTAATAATATTCCATCCTCCTAATAAAAAATCCAAGAAAAAAAAACGAAAATATCTCACTAACTAAAGAAGCGCATCAACATAAATCAAATATAATACAATATAAAAAAAGCTTAATATATCCTCAATATATATTATATGTATAATATACTATATATATATAAATCTCTAATGAATAACAACGTTTGTGCTCTGGCAATGTATTTAAAATTTTTATTATTATAAACATATTAGTTTTATTTGCTTTGGAACTTGTACGTAAAGTTAAATTGCTTATCGTTTTCACCATTGTGCATCGCGAGGATTTGTTTATTTTGATTGAATTTTGGAAAACCGAACGGGAAGCACATTCATAAATAATCAGAATCAGTCGTATTTAGAACTTTCTCAAAAGGATTTTCTTTCATCTCGTATTTCCTATGTCATATGATATAAATTTATATAAGAGTGTTGTGAGGGGGGGGAACTATTGTCACGTGAAATCTTCTTCGATGTGAGCTCTTGTATCAACTTAAATATAGAACCGAAAACAAAGACAAATAGGGAGAAGTGCTGATAATAGCGCGAAAACATACGGAACATGGATTCGGGAAGGATCGTGTGGTAAGGGGCGGGAATAATATAACGGATCAGTCGTGGTGGTTCGAAACGCTGTTCGTGATTGGGCTGGCCTGTTTAAGGACGTTTGCGATGCTCCCATTGGCCGTGAGGTGATTGGAGACGAGCCCCGGGTTCACCTTTGGCACGACTCGAGGCACTATGAATAGAGCTATCAGCGCTAATATATGAAGGCACAGGTACATATGTCTGCAAACGGAAAATTGAATTAATGATAATGTAAATGCATAAAATCGTAAATCTTACAAATATAATCTGATGCCACCCCAGAACTCCAACAAGACGAACGCGAACGTTATGTAAGCCATCACGAAACGCGTAGTCACGAAGGTGATTACATCGTAGATGAACTTGGAGTCCTTGTTTCCGGTGAAGTAGTTACGGATTGTGCGTCTCATCTGTATGCGAGGAACAGTGGATTTAAGAGATGCATAATGCATGATTGTCAATGATAACATACCGATCTTGCGGCGAACGTGAACAGGGCCCCATTTGCAAAAGTCAAATAGTAGCCCGGATAGAAGCCGTGCCAAAGGGCGGACAGTCCGTAAGTCAACATCGTGGCATAATTGTCCACACGCTCGTATACGATCATCCTCAACCATCTGTTGGTCCCTATATTCCAAGCCTCGATACTCTCTTTGAGATTTGTACCAAACTAAAACAGAAATACAATTAATTAATTTTATGTTGTTAAAATACAATTTTCAATACAATAATTGAAATTACCTACATTCATACAAAAGTAACAATGTTATTATAGACTGAACACAGGAAATGTTACGATTCTAATTTGATTCTAATTTTAATCACAATTCTTCCACTCTTCAATACTCTTTTTGTCTTTCTTATGAAATTAACATACAATAGCAATTGCTGGCCCATTTGCATTAATAATCTAAAAATGCAATTTCAAACAATTTGTGTATATACAATTTCTTAGATTATAAACAACAGTATGCAACTCTTTGTGTTTCTTACGTAATTAACATACAAATAAATAATACATAAACCAAGAATTAAAGAAATCTTTAACGACAAATTTATAGTTTACTCTAAAAAGACTAGTGTTTCATTTTGCTATTGGTCGCAATTGTTGAAAGCTTGAAACTATGAGTTTCTTATAAAATGAATAGCATTGATAATCTTAAACTATACAATATAATTTGATATAAATGGATTGTATATTAATGACAGCTCAAGAATATCTTCATTTTGCTATTGACCGCAACAAATTCCCGCTTTTCGATGATTTCGTCCCATCGCGAATCCACCCGACCGATATCTTCGAAATAGTTGTTGAGATTCTTGACGCCCGCGAAATACGATTTGGAGATGATGTGCTTCTTGTTGACGTGCTGTAGAAACTCCTGATCGTAGACTTTCTCCATAGATTTCACCTTCAGGTGGCATTTAGTCTCCTCGTACGTAAGAAGAATGCAATTCCATGGAGCCCAATCCTCGTCGCGGAAGAACCTGCACAGTCGCAGTTTGTAGATATCGTTGCATTCGCTGATGGCGGAATGCGAATGCCAGATCTGATTCACTATGTAGTACAAGTCCTTTTCGGTGAGGATGAAGGCTATGGAACTGTGCGAGGATTGTCTCCTCTCCTCACGCCTGATACACTTCAGTAAATACCTATACGGTTGGATGTCCATCCAAGGCTCCATGATTTTATCGCTCCACGAGCAACTGTTGCAGACGCACAACGTATTTGTGCGAGTATCGAACGCGAATTCGTCGCTCGTTTTAAACGTTTTGCAGCGAGAGCAGTAGAACATGTTGTCCTTCATCAATTTCTCTCTAACTCTCGCGTTCCTCATGGCGACACCTTCGCAACATACGGTCATCTTCAGGTGTTTTAGGACGCACGCCTCGATTCGCATTTGAAGAGTCTCCAAATGGCAATCACTGATACCGCGTGTTATGAGAATACAAGCCCTTTCGATCAGACTGAGTATTTCCAAACCGATTTCGCAGCCGACGTGCCCTTCCAGTGACATCTTCACTTCGAAGTACACTTCCAGCTTGGAGTCACGATCCAACGTGTGATCGCACAATCTCTGGTACAGCTCGAAATATTCCCGACCCTTTTGCGTCTCCAGCGTGTCCATTTCTATGAAAAGATTCTTGTAGTCGCTGTTCCAAGCCAACGGTTCGCTTATTATCTTCAGGAACTCGATATCCTTCTTTATTTTCAAATCCTGCTTCACTACTTCCTTCTGACGCTCGATGGACAGCAGCATCGCAATTTCCTTCTCAAGCAACAAATACATTTCCGCTAATTTAGACGGTCCGCACGCTATCGTCTTGATTCGCTCGATTTCCGCCTTCTTCCAATTCTCCAGCATCTTGTACAGCATGTAGAAGTCGGATTTGGTGCGCGGATAGACTTTTCCGATGAGCTCGCGTTTCTTTCGTTCCTCATCTTCGCGAATTAGGAAAGCCTCATCCTCTAACTCCAGTCGTATTCTCTTCCTGTATTCTTCGCACAGGATTTTCAGCGCCTTTCGCAATTTCCACGCGCGAAAATACCGCTGGATGATGCGCACTTTTCCTTCGATATCCAAACGGGCCTCACGTTCATCTGCCGTTTCGTAAGGTCCCGACGTTAGGATTCGATCGGTAATGCTCGGGATGTAAATGTCTGATTTGGCCATCTGCGTGGCTCTTGAATAATGAGTGTCCAGCAATCTGTTCCTCATCCAATACGTCTGAGTGTCGCGATGGGTCTTCACGACTTTCGGAGGCGGTGGGCCGGTCTGCGAGTACCCATGGTGGTACTCGATTTGGGTGACTTTATTCAGATAACCGCCGAGGTACGGTTTCAGGATGGTCTTACTCTCGATCTCAACGACTACTTCTTTAGTGCTACCATCATCGTACTCCACCGTAACAGTGATGATGTCCGGAACAGCTAAACCCTCGTAAGCTTGCTTCGCCGAGATGTACTTCTCCGGATGCGTTGATCGCAAATAAAAATCCAAACATCTGTGCTCTCCAAAATCGAAGTTGTAAAGCGTGAGCTCATTTCTGATATCCTCTCCATCCTTGCTTATCTCGATGAACTCACTGGACAATTTGAAAACCTCCTGAAGAACTGATTTGATATCCTCGATGCTCGTCTGAGCGGCGTACGATTGCGTGAATATAGCCAAATCGGGCGTGGTAAACTTCACCGTAACAATCACAACCTCGTGACGCTTCTGGACGACGTATTCGTAAATTTCGTTGGTCTTTATACTAGGAATGTCATCCTTCATAAGATTCTCCAATGACTTTTCGACCGCGTCCATATTTCAAATTGAATAAAAAATTAAAAGTTCAAAGTTAAAGTTAACTGCCAGATAGAGATGAACTTAAATCAATCAGCTGGCAGTCGGCCGGAATGTGAACACGAGACTGGTGAATCAAATCGTGGGGTGGAAAATAAAAACTTCGACCCCACACACACACATACATGGTTCAGTAGTTATAGCAACAAATGTATCGATCAAATATAGTCGAAACACAATGTACAAAAGGCCTCGCAATTAAAGAAAAAAATGGATTTCTCGATAAATCAAAGTTCGGTGAAACCTTGTTCGTCGCTCCAAATTAATAAAAGGCCTCTCTTCCAATCGTCCGATGAATTTAAGAAAGCAATTTCAAATAAAACAACTCATACTCCTCTTTTATTATATACTACGCATCCATTCCTAATAAAATATTTGCAAATAAATGATTAACAATAAACTATGCTATATTGGTCACGCCAAATACGTTAAATGGTTATGGAGTCACGTCCCGCATAACTGCATTAACTTCGCTTTATGGACTATGGAAATGAAGCACAAATGAGTCAATTGCTATTCTAAATACGTATAACAACTTAAAAATAATGTGTATTATTTCTTTTTCAAAATGTTAAATTGCTTATTATACCAAAAAACGCAATGAAGAAATATATGTCACATGAATCATAGATAAAATACACATTATATTCTAAATATTTAGTAATTAACTACGTATTTATAATCTATAAATTTAAAAAAAGAAATATTCTCTATTGCATAACACTATACTGCATAACGAAAATAAATAAAGTTTCGTATTTTTTTTATCAAATTGATTGAAACTGGTTCATTCATGCCATACGAGATTTATCAATATTATTTGTTTTATTTGGCAGCGCATCCTATATTTGCCGTTCGCATATTGAATTTGTGCAATCAAACGTTATTCTTGATTTGCTGCACACCGTTCAAATTTTGGCTAGAAAATAATCGTATTTTCGAATGACTCACCTCGAATTTGATCATATTGATATTGGAGAATTTGTCCCAGTTGTGGCTTCCGTCGGGGTGGTATCCATCAAAACCTATTCCTGAGTTGTTACTGGTGGCGTCGGCGAAGAGCCACGCGAAGTAGTACTTAAATCTAACTAGCATAGTGGTGTTGCTCAGGTACCAGAACTTGTACATGAGCGTTGTGTTCTCCACGAAGTCGTCATCTTTTACACCTTCTATGTGGAACATCGGCGTGAACTTTACGAAAGCTATCGCGCAGAGCAGAGACAACGTGACCTTCTTGCAGACTGCCCTCACCGGCGACGGTTCCAACACCAAGGTGTTACCACCAGAATTGTTGTTTATGTTGTTCTGCAATCATTTGTGGAATATTTGTTGAAATTGTTAGAATCAAGTTTGAATGGTCTTACGGATGAAGGCGTTGGGAAGTTCTTGCCGTCGATGAAATCGATGTAATCCTTGTAGAAGAGAGCCGGTCCTGCCATCAAAGTTGGAAACTGCAGCACGTAGCTGAAGTACTCGAGCGGCGTCGGTATATTCTTCACGGCGTACACCAGCTGATTCTTCGTGAGCTCCGATTCCTTCCTGCAGATGCCGTCATGGATGCAGAACGCCAGACTGGTAACCTTCTGTGTCACGACCATCAGAGGACCTGCAAACTTCGAGATTCGTTTCTCCTCCCTTTTTTTCTCACCCAAAAGCAGTCTGCAGCAAACCTTAATTACCTGTTATGTCCAACGAGTAAGACCCATAATCGTAGACCTGACGATGCAGATGAATGCACGACAGATAAATCAGAGCCACAGCCAGCACCAATCTAAAAAAATAACAATAATCAAATTTACGAAACGCATTGAAACTTTGAAGATCACCTCTGCATAATCTGGGGGTTCGTGGTGCGGATGACGATGTAACACAGAGCTGGTAGTCCGGCCAAGTGGATTGCCTGCCTGATAGAAATTTTCACCAAAAAAGAAAGAAAACAAACAGAAGGATGGTTTAATGTAAAACAAAAAATATAAATATAGATCCAATCGTCTGCCGTTTGCTCTTACATCCCGAAGCAAAAGTATCCGATGATGAGGCCGAATATGAGTCCGAATCCATGTCTGGTGGCCGCTTTGGTCTTCGACGGATGCAGAATCGTGCGGAACAGCGACGCCAAGGCCAAAGCCACGAACTGGCTTATGACAAAATTCACCTGCAAAGAGAAGAGGTCTTTTTTTAGAGATTTAAAGGCGCGCAAAATTATGTAACCGAAGAAGGAAGATAGAAAACGAATGTGCGAAACCGTGCCAAGGTCCGTTAATTGTTTAGTCCGGTGCAGCCTAATTAACAATTCTAAGCAACGCCTCCAGCAATAAAGCTACTCCGCTTTGATGCATCGCGAATTTGCATCATTACATCAGCATCATTCTTTCCTTAAATGTCGCACATTCCAATTAGATAACATCTGGATCGAGAGGAGCTTCGTAAATTACGCGATCGATAAGATAAAAGGTAAACTGGTATATATAAACAACCAGTTCTAATTATGATAATTCAAAAATATGCACAAAGATTACATCGTTTAAATAAATTCATTCTCAAATATCAAAATTTTGCTAATAATCATATTATGCGCTGCAACCGCAGTAACTTTAAGAACTTATGTGAACGCTCCAAGTAATAACGACGTAATGGTAATAGAGAAACAGCAACAAGTTGCTTGCGCTTCGTTTAAATAGTGCAGAGAAGAGCGTTTGCTACGCTATCAGTGCAAGTATGAGAACGACGTCTGCGACGACGCTTTTAAGCGAAATGCATTCCTTTCGAAATACACAGTTCCAACAAAACAACGTCACATTAGCAAGAATCTTGAGTGCCGCTAATTGCAATTTAACCGTGCAGCATAATAGATAAACAAGTACACCGATAACGTAACTAAATACAACACTAAAAAAATCAGTAATTATTGTTTAAATTTATATGGTTAACGATGATAATATCGTAATGCTTTTATCATTAAAAAAAAAATTATATGAATAAACAAACCAATAAATGAGTGACAATAAAAACATCGCAAATTAATTCTATTTTTGATTACGAATTACTCGGATGTTATAGACTGACGTAATTATAAACGCAAATGGTGACCAATTAAAAGTTCGCAGTTTTCAAGTTTTATGATAATACGTGAGGTACTGTTTGTTGCAGCTTCACAATTTTATTCAAAAGTTTGAAAGTAAATAATATTTTCAAGAAAGTCCTTACAATTTACATTTTTTGCAAGTATATAATTGTTAAAATCAATATTGTTATTATTATAAGTACATTTTCAGCTTTAATTTGTATATGAAATGTTCAATCTATCTCTTTTCAATGACCTTTAAAGTAATATATAATAATTTGTGCATTTAGTAAGTATTTATAAAATAAAATGTAGAAATATCAGGAAAATTGATTAATTAGTAAAAGTAAGACAGTTATCATATAATTTGTATATTTAATGACGCATTTATAATTGGTAATTTGTGAGTTAAAATCGTTAAAATTTTCTAAACTAATGAAGTAAAAAAGTAGTACTTCCTATAACTTCATTAGTTGCAGTTCAAATTTAAAAATTAATGACTTGAATTTAACAGTTTCATTTACGCAATTAAATTCGTTTTGTTCGGTTTGGATGAATGTTACCAGTCGTTAGAAATATAGGACGTTTCTTCTATAGCTGTAATGATCTAAAATAATACACGTTGTGTCATCATTATCCATTAATTAAACCGACAATTACGTGCTGTTGTGTGCCATATATTTCCTCCGTACACCAGGGGAAAAATTAGTCATTGATCGCGAATCCCCCTCACGTATTATCACGAAGGAGCAGTAGCAGCAGCAACAAAAAAAAAAGAAATTATATGATATGTATACAACAACAAAAAAACAGGGATAGAGTCCGTCTTTTGTGCCATGCCTCGTATCATAAATATTTGATCACGTTATCCCCCGGTGGATTGATTCCACGTCGAACGTTCAACATGCGAAATTGATGTCGCATCAGGCGATCACATTGTGTCCCGGATTTATAGGAAGATAACGGCGGACATCGTCGTCGGAAGAACGTAGGGATTAATAAAACATCGCGACGATAATTTATTTCCAAGGTGAAGTTCCTTACGTGATCGGAATGGTGCGGATATGATAATGCGTGGAACAAATAATTTCGGAGCGGTCGTCGAAATTTAATTAACTCTAAGTGTAATTGCATCAACCTTCGGAGATGAGAGAAAAAGAAAGGGGTTGTATAAATTGCAAGAAAACTGCCGACACGCGCGTAAAGATGGGGTAGAGAGAAGAAAAAGGGAATTGCACGGAGGGCGAGATAATGGCCGGAGGGTTATGGATGAGTTCCGTTCATCGATTCAAAGTAATTGAAAAGAGATAAAAATATAGAGACTGACGGGTCAGAATGACCCATCTTATATTTGTTTCATTCTATTGTAATTTAATATGGAGTTTGACTTAGCTATTTTAATTTTGTCTAGTGCACTTTTCAATACGAGTAAAACAGTCCCGATTTTATTGTATTTCGGGTCAAAGTGACCTGTCTATTGCAAATACGTTCTAGAAATATCATCAATATTTGGTTTTCAAAGTGGAATCATATATGTATAGTTTTTAGCAGTTTTAAATGAGGTTAAATTCATTAAATAATAAGAATTATTCTGTGTTGCTTCGAGAAATTAATATTTTGTTGTACTTTTTTTTTAAAAAATTCAACAGTCAGGTCATTTTGACCCATACCTAATACTTGTATTTCCCTAATTTGTCCGTAAATTGTGAAATGCTATTTTTTTAGTATTCTATGCACGTGATTAAAGGTATATTGTTGTTGGTTTTTGCGCGAAGGGAATTGTAAAAATTGCGATGGAATGGAGAGGTTCTTGTCCTCTCTGCGAGTTATAATTATTTAGGCCAGTGGCCCAAGAAACGCCCACGCACTCGACGTTTATATCCGATGCATCCTCTAATTTTAAGCGCGCCTCCAAAAAGGTGAACAGAAAGAGAAAGAAAAAAACAACAACCGATTAATCACGTCTTGATTAATTGCCAAGAGTGTTTTGTTGGGGGCACCAATACCAACGACGTACAAAGTTTATAAATGAATTTAAGTACATAACAATTTTTAATAAACTAGTTAAAAGTTGCAAAGAAACTTTTATTTTTATACAGATTTTGTAGTATTGTTTTGAGCGTTTTGTATAAATTATATAGCAAACAATAAGTTGGAAATAAATTGCTGCAATTACAAACGTATTTTGCTAAAACGATTTTATAGAATCACTTAGAAAATTCCATGAACAAAAGCAATATTTTCATAATTTTCTATTCATTGCATTGATTGCATGATTTTAACAATAACAATTACAAATTTGTTATAACAATAACGTATTTTTTGTTTCTAAAAGCATCATAATATCACCTGAATTATTTTGTATTAATTGCTTCGAAAAATAAAATAATTAATTAAAAAATGTATTTCACTTTTCCAAATTAATTGTATCAATAAAGCACCTAAAATATACACTCCGCGCCTTTATTATTGCTACGAAAATTGCCATGCGATGTTGTTACATAATGATTTTCCACTTTTGTGGACGGCGTTTGTGTACACGTGGGACGTGTTTCACATAAATTGTCCATGAAAACCTTTCAGCACTTTCCAGGAATTCCTTTTACCAATTAAATGCGCTTAGCGTAAACTGAAATTACATGAATATAAACCCGAAACGAGAGTCCCTACAACGTCGTATGCATAGAATATGAGTGAAGATAAATATTAACTGCTTTTGAATTAAATATATCTACGTAGTACAGGTAAAAAACAATTTGAATATTTTAAAGATTTTAGCAATTTTCATTAATTAGAAATTAAAGATAAAATTTATATTCAATTATGAATAATTCTAATGAATTGTATTCAATATATAGATTTATCATGATGATGAAAAGTGAGTTGCAAGAATGAATGTTAAATCAGATGTTTGAAAGCAGATTCTAAGCGAATTCTTGCAGGTCAAATGCCTCGAGTCCAGCAGCAACAGCGGCATTCCATTTTCTTTCCTATCTTTGGACTTTCGCGTTTCCAAGAAAGTGCATTCGACTGCGTTCGAGAATGCCAATTTCCCACGAACGAAATCATCAATTGTCAGCTGCAACGGTGGAAATTGAAATTGAACCCACGACGAATCAATAGTTCCAAAATAAACAAATAATATCAGTACACTCATCCACAATCCCATGAATCATTCCCTCCCCGAAACTGCGAATAAGCGTCAATCGATCATAAATGTATTTTTTTTGCGCTAAAAAAATAAAACTATTTTTACACAGGAATGCAACGCGAGGATGTTTATTTTTTATATGCGCGAGAGCAAAAATCAGCTCCTCTTTATACCGGAGAGAAAACATCGGATGCGGCTTGTTATTTTTTTTAACTTTTTCGAAACGAAACCGCGGATATTTGCATTTCGATTTGAATACTTCTGTACGATTAACGAATATAACTTAATGCATTCGCTTTCAATGATTGAACTCGTCAAGGAAGCCAACGAATTGTTGAATGACATCCAAAGTGCTGGATCGGATTGGGTACGTGTATAATTAGATTTTTCGTTAGAAGCAAATTGTAATTTTCCCATTCTTCGTATCGGATGATCCAGAGAATCCTTTGTTGAAACAATGATTAACACATTTAACGGTCGAACGCAAAGTTCAATGATTCACAGAGAAACGAAAGGAATTCACACGTTGCTTTTTTCTTTGGTCGGAAAATGTTATCAGTAGATCCGTTATCAGGGGAAAACGCTTCCGTTTTCAGTATTCGCGTTTCGTTCAACTTAATTTAGATTTTTGCTGCTGTAGTTTAATCTACACAGGCTTCGTTCGGATTTATCTGGCGACAAAAGGTGCTCGACCTTAAACCAAACGCGAATCACCTGATTTCGCAATCATCAAACGAAATATAATGAAAAAAAAATTACGTGCATTTACGTATCAACAACAACAATAATAACAACAACAAAAGCGACATCAACAACGTAATTACTGATAGAGCGGAATAAACATTTAAGTAAATTTAGAAAGCCTTGAACGACTGTTAATCCTTATTTCTGTCCTAACAAAACAATAAGAGATAACACCAATTAGTGTATTTACGTTTGA